AAATTATTATCATGTTGTTTAGATTCACAAAAAATCAAACAAATGCGCAAAGAATTTTACATTAACAACAGTTATACTAAGAAATTAATTTTTTTATGTTGCTAATTTGCAACTTAAAAAATTACACTGCCAGTTGCTTTGTTGATTAGTAATTATAACATAAAATATAATAAGAAGAGGTGATGCATCAAAGCACCTAAGCTTCTGGAGTAAATTGACCAATAGAGCGACATAAATATGTTATTGGCTATGTGTTTCAAAGTCGAAAGTCAATCTCATATTGTCATGTATACTTACTGCTAATAGGTCTTAGAAGTTCGACAAATACTCTTAATAATATTTTAAGGCAGTCAATTATTCATATGTTAGCACCTTTTCATATGTAAAAGCTATTATCAATCAGTTTGCATTTTTAAAATCAATAAAATATTAAACAACATACATTCAAAAACTTGATAAAAGAAAAATCACTTGTATCACTCATGCAAGACAGAAACCAAAAAAAAATTATGTTCATCCAAAAGTAGAAGAATTAAAGTGATGGGAGGGTCTTAGGATGGAAAGCACACATGCAGGCTGATGCATATATGAAAAAACACAACAACTACGCAACAACTAAATTGTAGTCAAAATACATAAGTTGTCACCTGATTTATGGCTCAAATCCTCCTTACATACTTTCTGTGGACGATAATAATATTACACACACAACCTTTCTAAAGTATATCTAGTACACACCACATTTGACAGATGGCGCGCGCGTATTTTACACGTAAAAGAAGCGGGTGAATATAAAACTTTTGGGTCTTAATCATTACTTAAACGCCATATGTCTAGCCTTTTTTACTTTTAAACTTTTTTTGAGTCAATTCTTCTTTTTCTATTTTTAACTATTTCATCTCCAAATAATTTGGTCCCTTTTCCACACCCTACCACCCCACACGTTTTCCTCTTCCCCTGGCCACCCACTTTGTCTTCTCCCTAGATTAAACTCTAAAACACAACAATAATTGTAGAGCTAGATCCAAGTTCTAAATTATTAGTCATCTCCTCCAAGATTTAACCCTTTCAGATCTGCTAATGAAATCAATGACTAGTTTCTCTATATTTTTTCATAATTTTATTTTCAGATCTGCTGATTCTTTCTTTGACTTCAATTTTTTTTTAATTGAATGGGTTTGAAAAGGAGGTTTATAGTGTTTGTGGATTTTGCTCTAAAAATTAATGGCGGTAGTGGTACTGTTATGACAATGGCGATTTTAATAAAAAAAAAACTTTTTTGTAGAAGAAGATGGGCATCTTTAGCTCTTATTCATCTCTAAGAGTCAAGCTCCATTGGCAATATTGAGAAAATGGGACACGGTGCTACTAACTAAGGCGTTAATGGTGGAAAGATTGTGGAGAAGATGATTAAGTGGGTTGGGGCAGGGGGGAAGGAATTACTAAAAGCGGGAAAGGGTGATCTTTTTTATTTATTTTTTCTTTTTCTAAAGAAGAAATTTTAATTATGGTGTAAATTAGGTATTTTATTGTATTTTCTTTCTGTTTTGACACGTGTCACGATATTATTGGTGCGTGATATTACACATATTTTGAAAAGCTGGTCAACAAAAAGATGGTGTGTACTAAATACACTTTAGAAAGATTGCGTGTGTAATATTATTATCGTCCACAGAAAGTGTGTAAGGGGGATTTGGGTCATAGTTCAGGTGACAACTTATGTATTTTGCCCTAAATTGTATAATGAGATATCAGGATAAAGATAACGAATATTTGACCATACAAAACTGGTACCACGTGAGAGTAATTCCAATGAAACAGAGTAAAGAGACTAAGAGCTCGTTTGGCTTAGCTGATTTAGAGTAGCTGATAAGCATTAGGTGCTGAAAAGCACTTTTAAGTGCTGAAGTTGATTTAAAAAATAAGCAGTTACGTGTTTGGATAAAAGTGCTGGAATTAATAATAAGCAGTTGAAGAACGGGTATACGAAGAGTTTTGTTTAAAAAGAAGTATTTTAGGGATAGAATAGTAAATATTTTGGTCAAACCTAAAGTGCTTATAAGCTGAAATTTGATAAGTTGGGGGAGACCAACTTATGGCGTTTGGCTTATTTTTGGCTTATAAACACTTAAATATAAGCACTTTTAATTTTACCAAACGCGTAGATAAGCCAAAAAGTGCTTATAAATCAATTTGACCAGCTTATAAACTTAATTAGCCGAAACACTCTCTAATAAAAAGCATATTCATGTAACAGTGAAAAAATTAATGTTCACCCCAAATAGTTTGTGATAACTGGGGGAAGGCTATATGTTATAAAAATCTTTGTTTTCTTTCTTATAGGCTATAGCTATAGATATCCCAATCTCAAATAATCAGAAAAGAAAACTATTATAAATAGGCTAAGATAGAGCACAACAAGGAAAGAGTAATATACTTAGGTATGATAGCAAGGAAACATTTTTTTTTTTTTTTTACCTTCTCCCATAAGTGGGTTTCGTAGATAGAATTTGTATACCCAACTAGTAGCAAATCCCTTTTGATTTCTTCAAGCACTGAGTGCAATATGAGGTGAATAACTTTCAGTTAGCTATGTGATAGTAGTATGAGTACGTAGTGGATGAAGGCGAGCTTTGTGCTGATAACGTGTTCTAAAATAAAAACAATATAGCAAAAACTATATAATTAAGATTAATAATAGAAGAGAATGATAATATTAGAAAGTAACGTTTCTTTTTTCGTTTCAAAGTGTCTTCTTTAGGTTCATGAATGAACCTATTTATAGATACTATTGACTATTGTATTGTTACATAACATCCTAATCTAGCTATGAGCTCGAAATCAACACAAATCTAGTCATGAAGACAAGTCTAGATATGGTAAGATTTTCAAATCTCAAGTTGGACATCCACCTTCTGTTCAAGTGAATTTATAACAAAGACAAGTCACTCGTCCTATCATGACATAAATCACTTGTAGCAGTTGAGTATATTTCCTTGGTTTCACGTTTTATGTGGCTTGACTTGGCATTGTTACTAAGATTAAAGTCGATAATATATATAAATGATTAATAGAAGTGGAAAATGAAGATGAGCTTCAGCTGAGGCGAAGTTAAATGTTTAAATTGGGCATTAGGAGGAGAAAATTGTGTTGAATTTCAATGCCATCCTCACTTCTACTATCCAGTAGTCTCTTTCGCATTCTCTAGTTAACTATGTGAATGTAATAACAATTACGTTTCAATTCCAAATAAATTGGAGTTCGCTATATGAAGTTTCTCTTACCATTTTTCTCAATTTAAGGTCAACTTACACCATTATATATATAAAAAAGTTAAATATGTATAAATGATATACTATAGTAAGTAACAATATTACGAGTCTCTATATTTGTATTGGCATATCAATCTATAATAGTCAAAATACTCCTAGAAAACAATAGGTTGAAAATCAACGTACTAGCAAGACTTATTTTCAACTATAGTTACTTATGTGAATGAAATAAAAGAAGTTAAAGAGTTATAAACATATTAATTAGTCATAAGCTCCGTCACATTCTATTTGATGGGGAGAATTGAAATTATTCAATTATTATTCTATAGTCGGAATTTTTTTGAGTTTTTGCTAAATTTTTATCTGCAATTTGATTTGAAGTTTTGCATAGAGGTGCGCATTCGATTTATCGATTCGATTTTGACCCTTATCGATAATTACTTATCGATTATTGATTTATACATATGTTTATCGTTATCGTTTCAATAAGGTTTCGATTTTTTCGATTTCGATTTATCAATTTTTGGGGCTTATCGATTTGGTTATCGATTACACCAATAAGAAAATTTGTGGGATTCCAAGGAAAGTATATCTCTATAAACACGGCTAACTAATATGGACAAAAAGAAGCTAAAATAAGACGAACGTCGTTTATAAAATAAAAATTGTGTCAACAAGCACATGCAATGAAACTAAAGTAAGGGATCAAATGTATGCCACCAACACTCCAACGGTATAAAAATAAAAATAAAATACATCATCACCGCTAATTCCGACGTCAATTTCAAAAGGTGGAAATACGCATCATACAACTTTACCATCGCAACTTTTTGGTCACCACTGTTGGTCAAATTAAACTTTGATGATCATACGCACGATGGAGTCTTCAACATTTATCTTGACCAAGTTGATAAAAATTGGGCCAAATCAATGAGTTCAATTATATCATCCTTAATGGTGGCCACTGGTTTAATCGATTATACTATGAGAAAAATCAAGTAGTTGGTTGTTGGCGATGTTCACTAAAAAATGCTACTGAATTCCCAGTTCATTATGCGTACACGATGGCATTTAGGACAGCTTTAACAAAGGCACGGAGAGAGGGAGAAAAGTACTTTTGAAGTCGCCGTCAGAGTTCGCCGGAGTTCACTTTCTCTGCTGGATTTGCAATTCGCGGGAGAGAGGGAGGAAGGTAAAAGCGGCGCTGAAGAATGGGTAGAGGAAATAATAGGGTTAGAGACTTAGGGTAAAAGAAATGGTATTATAGAATAAGGGTATATTTGTCTTTTTAGTATATTTTATCGGTTTATCGATAAATCGATAATCGAAGAGGACAAAATCGAAATCGATAAACCAATAACAAATGATCGATAAACCGATTGGAATGTACCCCTAGTTTTGCAGTTTTAGTTTGGCGGGAAGTTCAAAAAGGGTGGCTCTAAAGTTTAGAAATTTGCGCCATTTCAAGTTTTCAACTAATGATGTCTTCAGCAATTTTTATTAAAAATTTAAAAAACCTTCAAATTCTCCAGGTTGGGCACGGGGCTTTACCTCATCTACTGAAATTAAAAATAGTAAGTAGTAAGTCGAAACTACACCGTTTCAAGCGCATTAATGGCGCAAAATTCTAAACTTTAGAGCCACCCATTTAAACTTCCCGCTAAATTAAAACTTCAAATCAAATTACAGTTAAAAATTTAGCAAAATCTCAAAAAAAATTGGCTGCTCTTCTCCCGGGTTTTTCTTCCCTACTTCATCCTCTCTCTTTTCACAAATTTCCTAACTCCCAACTTTTTCTTCCTCCTTCTGTCCCAAAAAAGAAAAAAGAAAAACAAATGGGGGGCAAGCTTCAGTTTTTACCACCAGCCAAAAGATTCATGTTAATGCAGCAACAACAACACAAAGATAATGGCTCTGTTTCATCTTCACAACTTCCTGCTAAAAAGCGAAAATTCTCTCCTGAAAAAACACCCTTCTTTTCCGATAGCACCGGTGTTACTACTCTCTGCTTGCCAGCCAAAAAACGTGTTTGGGCTTTTCACCCATTTGACCTCAATATTGAATATAATCCAATTTCTTCTCTCAATGAAACTAAAGAAGAAACATTAATTAGTCAAGCTGACATCACTCCTCAACAAGCTGCAAAAACAAATGACGATGATAACGAAGACGGCATTATCTGTGCTATTTGTGAAAGCACAGATGGAGACCCATCAGATCCAATAGTTTTGTGCGACGGTTGTGATTTAATGGTCCATACAACTTGCTACGGTCATCCTTTTACAAAGGGAATACCAGAAGGTGATTGGTTTTGTGCTCAATGTTTGGCCTCAGAAACAGAGAGCCGAAACCCTCTTACTTGTTGTCTCTGTCCTGAAACCGGTGGAGCCCTAAAACCCACTGTGAATGAGGGTAAATGGGCTCATGTTGTTTGTGCACTTTTTGTTCCTGAAGTTTTCTTTGCTGATCCAGAAGGACGTGAAGGAATTGATTTCAGTAAAGTGCCTAAAAGAAGATGGGAACAAAAGTGTTATATTTGTAAATCCAGAAATGGTTGTGCTATTGATTGTTCTGAGCCGAAATGCCCTTTGTCTTTTCATGTGACTTGTGGGTTGCAACAACAACTCTGTATTGAGTACACAGAAGGAAAGAACAAGGCTGCTGTTGTTGCTGGTTTTTGCAGAAGCCACACTGAACTATGGAAAAAGGTTGAGTCTTTTTCCTTCTACCTTTGCTTGTTATCTTTTCCCCCCTTTCATTTAGCTTGTATATATTGATACTATATAAAAGAGCATTTATATTATTAATGTAGTTTAACTTGTTATGACATGCAAAATGTTTTTACTTTTCAGGTTATTAATATTTTTTGTTACTACGCTTTCATTTTTATAGATGGCAAATTTCCTTATTTTCATTTTTACTAATCTTTCTTTTTTGTAGACAGTCAGTTTTTGAGGTTACTAATCTTTCTTTTATGTAGATCGTAAATTGTCTTATTTTCCAGGTTATTAATTCATGTTATTTATAGATGATTATTAATATTGCTGACTGCTATTGCTCCTTCCATCTAATTTTTTTGGCTCTTAGCCTTTGTTGTTAATATTGCTTATACTACTATTTTTCTCTCTTTCTTGAGTTGAGCATCTATCTAAAACAACTTCTTTACAGGTTGGGCTAAGGTCACTTGCCCAGACTCCACTTGTGGGATTCTATTGGGTTTTTTATTGTTGTTATTGTTATTAATTAGTACTAGTAGTTACTCCTATATTTTAGATGATTTGAAAGAGTATTTTTTCTTTTTACTTTGGTATATATAAGTTAAACTCTTATTGTTTCAACGTTTTTAATTTTCGTGTTAACGGGTAATTTTTGGTGTGCAGCAACAACAAACAGGGAAGTTCAAGATTGTGCCAAGAGATGAAGTTGACAGATAAGACTATACATCTACGATGATTAAGCAGAATTGCAGAAACAGACGATTGAGAATCCTAGTTTTTAGTAGTGGATTAGTAGTAGAGTAGTTGATCTCTAATAGTATTCTGTGATTGTTTAAGTTCGTAATCATTTTCTTCTATACTTATTGAAGTCTTCCATTTTGTTTCCAACTTCATTGTTAAGTACTTATTAATTGGCACCCGAGAAAATCTGAAAAGAGACTGTTATTGGACTCTATGAGGACTCTAATATTGAAAGATTGATGAAAGTCTTATTTGGATAAACTCTCCATAAATTTTGATCATATCCAATCACAATAACAAATCTTATAAATGGGGTTACCATATTTTAATCATCTACGTTTCACAACTATGCTCAATATGGCTTCAAGTTTGCGATTTTGGGTGTGTTTCCAAATAGTTTTAGTACTTTTGGGGTCATGTAATTGTAAAGAGAAATCAGCAATAGGAGATCCAGGGATGAGAAGGGATAATTTAAGAGTGGCAATAGAGGCATGGAATCAATGCAATGAGGTACATGAAGAGGCTCCTAACATGGGAAGTCCTAGGCAAGCTGATTGTTTTGATGTTGAAAAATCGAAATCTAGCAGTAAGCCAATTCTCCATCTCTAGTTTAAAATTTTATTATTCACCTTGGTCTTTACATAAGGCTATATAGAATTACTGTGATTAAGTGATAAAAAGAGAAAGGTTTGTGTTAATTAACTATGGTCATGTGACTGATAACAATATAGTGAAGTCATATGTTATTAGATTAATGTAAACACTACTTGTGGCTAAGTAGTTTTTCACATGTTAAGTAGGTATTCTTCCATTTTTCTAAGCAATTAGTTTGTGCATCTTTATCAAAAAGACATAAAAATTTATCCACGTTTGATATTTATACCAAACCATGTGATAAATTAAGGTGAGAGAGTGTTAATTATGATTTAGTGATAACCATGTTTATGAAGACATGTGTTATGTTTTTGTTGGATTGATGCAAATTTACAAACACCTTATGCGGAAAGTTTTTACCGTCAAAAGACTTTTTTATACTAGAATTAGTGTTATGCTCGTTTTGTATACCATGTGACTACAAATTTAGTACTCCACAACCTACAAGGAAGGAGTCAATTACTCCGAGGCGGCTTAAACCCAAGCCACTAAAGTCGTTTTAGGCCTCACAAAATTAGAGTCCCCAAAAACTACTATTTTTATATGTAATTTAAATATTTATTGTATTTATTATTAAATAGTAATAAGAAATTTTTTCAACTATCCTTTGCTACTTTGTCACCAATCATTAATAACATAGTTTTATATTTTATGTGCTCTTTTTTCGGAGTTGATTTAGAAAATTCAAATGAAAGTGAAAGACAATTAAATCTGTAGTTACTTTTCCAACTTGAATAAATTTTATTTACAATTCTAACTTTGTAAGATATTTTCTTTCAAGATCTCTATAGACATACTTTAAGCTATCATCGTTGTAAATATAAATTTCTACATGATTATTACTTTGGGAGGCAATGCTATATAGTGAGTTAATTATGTTGACAGTCATGTAAAAAGAAAAAAATTAAAAATTAAACTTAATAAAATCTTAACAATGTTAGTAATCTTTCAATAAAGATTAAAGGGGTTGATTACATCGTCAAAATGAAATTGTTGGGTACATCGTCAAGATAAAAGTGCATCTCGAAAAGTTAAAAGAATAAACTTCAAAAAAATATTTGAAATTATTAAACAAGTTTAAGGCCTCTTATTACGTACTGGCTTTAGGCCTCTAAGACTATTGAGCCACCTCTGCAATTACTTCACCAAAAAATATAGGCTTGTATTCTGTTCCTATATATCCGATACATAGTTGTAAAGAGAGTATATACACTTACTAAAACCTCTTTATCTTTTGTTGTCTATTGCAAGTTATCATGCTTTTGTTTTGCAGTGAAGCTGGTTCACTTAGTGAACGATTATGATAACAAGCTGAGCATAAACGATGCCAAAAACCTAGGACTAGAGAATCTGGACGTGAATAAATATGCAGCCTGGAAAGAATTGTTCTTGGGATCCAAATGCCAAGTTCAAGATGATCCAAACCCATGGAATTTCTGGATGATTATGCTCAAGAGTGGTAACATGGACACCACAGCTGCTATTTGTCCCAAAAATGGCAAACCATCTCAACCATTTCCACCCGAGTCGCGCTTTCCATGTTTTGGCAAAGGTTGCATGAACATGCCTAAGATATACCATGACTACACCACATTACATAGCCATAAGCACATTGTAAAGCATAGAAAATTGAAGGGAAGTTTTCATGGGACATGGGATTTGGATGCTGATATTTACAAGGCAGAAACTCAAAATGATACTTCCTTTTTCTCAGTTACTTGGCATAAGCAACTTGGAAAAGGAAGCTGGAAATTTCATCATATCTTGAAAACTTCATCAAAGTACCCTTGGTTGATGCTTTACTTGAGGTCAGATGCAACCACTGGAGTTTCTGGTGGATATCATTATGAAACAAGAGGCATGTCAAAAATAGTAGGTTTCTCTTCCAAATCTTTGCATTCTTGAAATTTTCATTACTATTATGTTCTTGTTATACATACAATGTCTTGAAAGAATGAAAAAGATCAATATACCTGATACCACATAGTTGGGGTTAAGTTTTAGCCATGTTAGTACATTTACTTTAGCTCCAAATTGCTTAGAGTTTTTCGACATGTCATACATTTATATGCCAATAGAAAATATAGAAGCAGTGATTGGACTTGAGGCATAATTGTTATTGTTGCTGCTGCTGCTGTTGTTTTATTCTTGTTATACATTCTTATATTCTGGTCTGCTGATATGGAATTAGGTCCCAAAGTCACCAAATTTCAAAGTGAAGTTCACTTTGGATGTGAAAAGAGGAGGTGGTCCAAGTAGCCAATTTTATCTAATGGACCTAGGCAGCTGCTGGAAGAACAATGGACAGCCTTGTGATGGGGATGTTACCACAGACGTAACACGATACAGTGAAATGATCATTAATCCTGATACTGAAGCATGGTGCAACCCCACAAATAATTTAAGGCTGTGTCCACCTTACCATACTTTTGCAAATGGAACACGCGTTCATCGGACTGATAAGGCAAGATTTCCTTATGATGCTTATCATGTGTATTGCTCCCCAGGGAATGGAAAGTATCTTGAAGAACCATTCAACTATTGTGATGAATATAGCAATCCTCAAGCTCAGGAAATACTTCAAATTCTGCCTCACCCTGTTTGGGGAGAATATGGATATCCAACTAAGAAAGGGGAAGGATGGACAGGAGATCCAAGAACTTGGGAACTTGATGTTGGCAGACTCTCACAATCACTTTACTTCTATCAGGTACTATAATTTTTGGAACAAAATATATGTATAAAACCCCTTATACAGGATGAATCATTTCATAACTTTATATTTTCTTGATGATATTGCAGGATCCTGGCACAAAACCTGTTGAAAGGCATTGGCCATCTGTTGATTTGGGTACTGAGATATATGTTAGTGGAAATCAAGTTGCTGAGTGGATCGTTAGCGACTTTGATATCATTGTGACAGATGAATAGTTTCACTTTGGTTAGGAATAGTGTGTAGTTTTTTTGCTTGTTTCACTTAGAACTTTAGTAGAACTCTGTAAGGATTCGATATTCTTTTGTTTATGTTTATATAAATCAATTAAGGCATACCGGCAAGTGTTCTTGCCTGATCATCTATGAAAGAATTGACGCATTACCAGATATAAGCTGAAATTCATGCAGTAATGGGAAGGTCAGACTAAAATTGCTTGAATGCTTAGTGAAGAAGGGGCCATTACATTTCAATTATTGTAGTCAAAGTACATATTACTACTATCATTCTATAAAGGAAATGTGTCAAAATCTTGAAACAGTAAAAACCAAACACTGGAATGACTAAGTGGACCATGATGAATGTCACAGTTCTTAGACCTTCAGACGGTCCGTCGAGACATAAATATAGTATGTTTTAAGAAACTATTAATCCAAAATATGATATCTATGCGAAAAGACAGTAAATACAGAGAGCAAGTTATTAATGAAGAAGAAATAAATTTGTCATATCAAATACCTTCTTTCAAGAATTATGGGCACTGTGTTGATAAATTTGTTATATCTTGGCAGCTAATGTGAGGTGATAAGCCTCTTGGTAGTATAGGATGAGAATGCTAAAGAAAGTAAACATGGATTTGTTAATTAGTAAACATATTCATATAATCATAACCCTTTCCACGAGAAACTGGATCTTGCTTTGACGAAGGCTGCATGAACATGCTTCTGCTGCTGATATATCATAACAATACAAGAGTGGAAGACTTTCAAAACTAAGTGCTAGTAGTTTCTACGAACATGGGAGCCATGTCAATTAGGCAGAAGTAGATATTAATACATCATATATGCAGTAGATGTGGAAGAAGGAAGTCGGGAAGAATCGTTACTTCTTTCATCTCAGAAATACACATGGACCATCTGGTGGAATATCATTAACAGAAGAGGGGAATGCTGAAAACTGCAAGTGTTTGGTTCGAATATGGATGTTCCATTAATTAAAGAAGGGAACGATCCAGGAACTAGGATATTTCATGTTCATGAAGATTCCTGGTTCGAATCCTAGCTACAGTGCTCAGCGTCAGCTAATCCTTTCCAACTTTGATTGGCAGATTTACCCCGAAATAAGATTATGGCATATAATAGTAAGATGAAGATGTCAGGTCCTTATCCTAACTACAACACTCTGTGTAATCACATTTTTATTCCAACCTTGGTGGATAGGTTTATCCAATAATTGTGATATAGGCTGTAGAGTGTAGAATATTGTCTGATAGATTAGTCAAGGAGAACTTAAGCTGCCATGATACTACTCTCCCCATAGCTTCGTAAAAATAGCACAGGCTAGCTAGTATTCGAACTGATCATTCAAAAATAGCCAGTATTTGCAAAGTCATTGAAAAATAGCCACTATTTTGTTACAATACGGAAAATTCCAACATAATATACTGGAGATTGGTGTGCCTGTGTATGAACTTCCAGCATATTATGTTGGAACTCCAACACGCAGAAAGTTCCAGTATAATATACTGGTGCTCCAATCTCCAGTATATTATGCTGGACCGGTATTATACTGGAACTCCAGTATATTATATTGGAGTTCCAATATAATTTATTGGAACTCCAATATATTATACTGGAGTAATTTTCCGAATTTTGAACACTGTTTTCGTTCAGATTTATCTTTACATGAAAAGTGACTAAATTTTGATTACTTTCGAAACTGTGACTATTTTTGAATGACTAGTTGTAAATCTGGCTATTTTTGAATTTCTCCCCTCCCCATAGCTTCTGATTGTCCACCAGTCAAGAATTATTGGCCATCCATCGTTTTAAGTAACAAAAATTTTCATTATTTCTGGCTTGCTCTCTTTTGATGCTTAAGGTTGAATAGATTTCTTTTTCGTTTAATATCTTTCTCACTATAGGCAGGAAATAGGCAGAGTTGAGCACATGAAAGTAAAGGTCTGTCAGAGGAACAATTTTTTCCCTTCATTAATATCAATGACGCAGTACCTATATATATACAGGGGCATAAATACTAACTCAGCAGGGTACACACTAAGCTAAAGAATGCCTATTTAGAGACCCTCACTAATTCCATATCAATGATTTTGATGCTTAAGGTTGAATAGATTTCTTTTTCGTTTAATATCTTTCTCACTATAGGCAGGAAATAGGCAGAGTTGAGCACATGAAAGTAAAGGTCTGTCAGAGGAACAATTTTTTCCCTTCATTAATATCAATGACGCAGTACCTATATATATACAGGGGCATAAATACTAACTCAGCAGGGTACACACTAAGCTAAAGAATGCCTATTTAGAGACCCTCACTAATTCCATATCAATGATTTTTATCTACCGCGTAACAGATTGCTCTTCAAATCTCCCGTGCTGCTTGAATTGAGGAAAATGCACACCTTGAACTGTCTCAACTACAAGATGGATGTTGTCACTTGATTCAAAGACCATTAAAGATAGATAATCTGCTAGGTTAGACCATACTGAACGGTGCTAACCTCTCTGTGAGCAGCAACAGCAACAGCTGCAGCCCCGACTGCCCCAAACTGTGTTTGTGCCTGTAGTAGTTTTGCATCTATGGCAAGTTGACCTCCCAACTGTGCTACCTTTGCCTGTGTATGGTAGTACGGGTTGGTGTTCATATCGATACTCATACTAGCCGTCGACTTGGCAACCATGCACTGCCCAGGTTGCTGCTTAACTTGAGAGCGGTCCTTCTCTGCTTCGGCTCTATACTTCTCTAGATTTGCAGAATTACTTCTGAACAAATAATGTGGAGAAATGCCATGCGGTGGGAGGACAGGGTTCTGGGAATATACTCTTCCATCAGCGACTTCTTTGATGCTTCTGTCACCATCATATCGTAAAACCGGCCCTACTACTCTTCCAGGTTTGGCTGAAAAATGATCGAACTGGCTATTAGAGAAGAATCCAACATACATGCACCCCACCATCAAAAATATTTGGCAAGGGCGTTAAAAAGCAAATCCAATAAGCATTCAACATTCTCTAAGTTTCAGCATTACATATATACTTGTTGGGACACCACGTATATATGATCTTTTTGAAAACGTAGACATAACGTACATTATTGCTGGGAGTACCAGCACAGAAAATGTTAACCATACCTGTGGGTACTCGAGGTGGTGGTCGCAAAACCTTCTGGTCTGTGACTCTGACGCCAACAGTTGCCTTTTCTGTTACTTGCCTATGATCAAACATAGGGTTCTGTTGTGTTCTGGGGGGGATGGTACTTGAATTAACCGTAGATCTGCAACACATTTAAGAACATATGTGAGAAAGGCCCAGATAAACAGACTGAAAAGGAGAGAGCACAAGGGAAAAGGGTAGGAGCCACGCTCTCGGAGTCTCAGGCAACAGCTTTTCCAATTTAATGCACAAATTATTATTCCAAATCTGAACTTTCTCAGAAAGCATGAAAGTACATCTTCTTATTGTTCAGTCAGGCCACTTCTCCAGCAAATACAAAAATAAATAAAAGCTCTTTTTGTGGGAGAGATAAAGTGAAACGAAAGGAACATATTCATGAAGACAAAACCAACAAAACATCATGGAGACAAACACAACTAATGGACTCTTACCGTGGGAGAGAGACATGCTTTCGACCAGGAGGAATTACTGGACCACTTTTACCACTATTTTCCTCGAGATAGGCAAATTGCCTTCTGAAATTACCAATGGCACTGCATATTCAATGATTGTTAAAATATCAATCAGTAACTTAGACAAGATATTATGGTACAAGAAAACAGAGACAAGAAATAGTAGAGAAGTATATTACAACCTAGGATAGACAAAATTTGCCCCATCATTTCCAGCCATGTAGTCCTTCAGAAGCTGAGGATGGTACTCTAGTATCTCCCGAAATATTAGTTCTCTAATGTCCTCCTTGGTGACCCTACGCCGCTCAAACTCGAACTCCAGCTTCGAGATTGGTGGACTAGAAGGTTCCCTCTCAATCTTGGCCAGTCCCTTGAAGTAAGGATCAGCCAAAGCCTAAAAGATAGGAGGAAAAACACAATAAATGAGAATGAAATTAGATAGGGACAAGCACACAGAGATTCCATTGTAATCTTAACACCACTAATATATGAGGGAGAGTTACCTGTTCAGCAGTTGGGCGATCCTTTGGATCAAATGCTAACAGCCTCCGCAAAAGCCCGAGAGCCAAAGGATCTGCATTCGGAAATTTCTCGGTAAAAGGAACTGGGCTCTTTGTCCACATGTCTGTCAAATACTTCCTTGCCTTCTCATTGCGAACCTGCACTCAAGAGGGAATGCTCTTCAATCAATTTGTTGTCGAACAATGCTAACATAAAAAAAAAAAAAAAAAAAAAAAAAAAAAAAAAAAAAAAAAAAAAAAAAAACAATTCTNCTGATGGTGTCCCAAGAAGATCAGTAATCAAATCCAACTGGTGCACAACACTTTTGCCTGGAAACAATGGTTTCCCTGTCAGGACCTCCGCAAAGATACACCCAATACTCCAGATATCAATAGCAGGTGTATACTGCAAGGAATTCAAGCATGAATTAGAAGACAAATCAGCAAAAAGATCAGTAAAGTCCTGGTGAAAAATTGACCCAAGACCTAACACAATTACCTGAAGAATAGAAAAATCAACTTCCAGGAGAGTTCAATAAGTCCTCCCTGAACAAGAACGGTTTTAATCTACACATCACTATTTAATACACTCGGAACGGAACAAAAATCTGTTATTCTAACTAGAAAGCCCTTCCTTTTAACACTATCATTATACACGACATGGCAACAATACTGAATAACAAGTACCTTTTCACCTTTCTAAAGCATGGGGAAAAGGAGTCTTTACATGATGCCAAAACGGCATCTAAGCAATTGAATCCAGCAAAAACAGGCACGAAAATGCTCTGTGATTATGCATGAGCTATTGCAAGGTGGCTAATTAATTGACGACTAAATATGTAATCCTAAGGTACAAAATAAAACAACGCAAGGAGGGGTTTTGCGATACTTGACAACTATAATTTTTTTTAAAGTGAAA